TTCATTCTTCGGTTAATTGCTGACTTGAAACCAGTCTCGTCATTATGATCATCACAATAACACTCATCATTAGCATTATTCTTTTAAGAGATGGTTATTACTTTCATTGTTAATGAGGAAGGAACGGAGGAGGACATTTTTTAATAGATGTGATGAAAATTAATACGGTACTACTGTAGTAGGTACATTCCACTTTTGATTACAAAGATTGTTGTTTGTTATGATGAAAATAAGTAGAGCATGATGTAATGATGATAGTTTTTTTAAAATTGAATTTTTTTTGTTTTGAATTTTAAACGGCAAGACAAATGAAATTTTGGCGGCCCTTTTATTATGGATCCATTTGAATGAGATTATGCTGTTGTTGATCTTCCTCTTGTTGATGAGATGCAACATGTTGACCTGGAAATGCATTTTGCAATTCTTCTTCATCCTCACTTAAAAAATCATAGGATAGTTGCTCTCTGATTTCTCTTGCCTGTGAGGAAGAATTCTTTTTCATGTGATACCACAAGGCCAATAGAACAGCAACCAGGATAGTGGTTGATGATGCAATCATTCCAGTTAATGGAAGAATATATCCATAGGATTCCTCTTCCTCAGCTGCTGTTGAATTGGTGCACACATGATTCTTGAATGAAATTCTGAAACCTTCAGGACAAAATGGAACTGCCTTCATTATGAACCTTTCTGTTTGATCTACAAAGTAGAAGGACAATCCATCAGTTGCAAAACGAACAGAGTGGAGTAACGCCGAATCGCTTTTAAAAACAAACTCAATCAAAGCATTTTCATCTCCAAGTTTCAAGCGATACACTCTTCCAATTGATGAGGTTATTTTTCGAATCAAATACATACAAGTCACCATCATTGGTGTAGTGAACATCTTTAGGTTGAAGAGTGTTTTTGAAGCGTCACTTTCTGTATTGTATCCAGACACTCCAGGAATACCATAGATAGTAGAAATGATGCCGTCCTTTGAAACTGACATGATCTTGTGTATCTGCAATAACCATTTCGCCTTCAACACTGACAAAGAAGGAGGAAACTTCTTGAATTTTGGCCTCTGTTGCTGGAAGTCCATCACCCAAGCCACCTGCAACCTTGGTAAGAGTATTTCCTTTTACTTTCCATACGAAACGAGTTGGTTCGGTAAAGTAAATTTCATCTTCTGTTGGAATAAGAAGTAGTTGTAGCATCAGAACCAACAATTCTCACCAATTTACCATCAACAACCTTACTCACAAACATTTCATGGGCAACATGTATTTCATCCTTACTGTTAATCAAAACAGATGGTGGCATTTTCACATCGATAAACCTTTCCCAAGTTCCATCTGTTTTAAGCTTGAAAAGGAATGATCCAAATTTTAAGGCAATAATGAAATCACCATTTGAAAGTACATCAAAGGATGAAATAGAGGAGGTTTTTTCTTGACGAACTAGTTCCGTTTGACCAGTTTCGGCTTTGACAATAGTCAAAGAATCTAGAAGGCATAGATAAATATCACCATTATCCATTATTTTCATTTTACCTGGCAAAAATATTCTTGATAGATGCTCATATTTGGAATTTACCTTAAGGGTTTCCAAATTCAAAATTTTTAAACTATTGCCCTCAATAAAGAAAATCTGACGTCTAGACCGTGGGAGGTGAGAAGGATTGACAAATATTTTTATAAAAAATTTAGAAGTCACTCAAAAAACAAAAATTTGTTAAAGTCGAGCCGAAGGTTTATTGGACCAAGAGTGAGACAGTGTGTTCAAAGTATCAATTACCACTTGTTCTTCTAGAAACAAGTACTTCTGGGTAATTGTTGTTTGTTGTTTTTTTTTGTTGAATATTTAACGGTCAGAACAGACAACTTTCAGCGGTTTTTGGTTGGCGCGAAATTACCGTGATGTAACATTTTTTAGCTCACCTCCCTCGGTCTACTGACGTCAATAGTAATCTCTTGACATTTCCAGTAGCTTGATCAATAACGAAAATCTCCTCTTCTTCTATTAAGACTTTGGTATCATTCCAAGCAAATCTTAGAGACATCCATACTGGTTCTCCAATCACCGAATTTGTACCTTCTTCATTATCGGGAGAGATTGTTCCTCCAGCAATTCTCATGGTCCTCCATCTTAATGGAACTTTACTAACTCTCTCAATATTTGCAACTTGGCTTGTTGATGATGCCTTAATCATTATTTTGCTCCGATGAAATAACAACATTCATCAACAAAGCAATAGTAATGTATAACACGATAGAGGTCCAAATTTTAATGGCTCCAACCCTCTCGATGGAGAATGAGCTCCTAGTAGAAGATCCTCCCTTATTGCAATTGTTTGTTGTCGTGTGCCCGCTAAACACTTACTGTCAAAGCGTGCTGGTACTTTGACGATTTTGCGTCAAGCTATTTTCGTCAAACAAGCGAAAAGTTGTCTTAGCAGGAGGGAACTTGGAAATTTTTCCAATTTCAAATAACAAATAAATTTCCAAGTCAATAAATTTCAATTTATTAAAAGTATTGATATGCATAATAATGCACAGGAATATATTTCTCTTCATCAGGGAGTTTGACAACAACACATGGGAGCATTTCAAATGCTTCACTTCTACTAATCTCCCTTGTCTTATTGGTGGTGTTGGAAATTAAGGTAATCTCATTAAAATCTTTTGAAAGATGCCACTTTGAAAACTTCGTTCGTTTTGATATCCTTGATACAATCTAATTCCTTTCTTACAACGTAGTGACCAACTATACATTCAGAGGCAATAAGAGGTTCATTTAAATCCATTAAATCACATAATTGGCACATATCAAAGTACATGATTGAATATCGAGCAGAATTTGAACAAACGTAAGTCTTTGAGAGTGTGAAATTGAGCCCTTCTCCAATAAAAGCAGAATTTACACCAAGAGGGCCGTACATTCTACAAGAATTGACTAACTCAGTACAAATATGAAAGTTTGGTGTTGCTTTCTTTTCTCCAACCACTTTCTGATAATCAATTAACACTTGAAACAATTCAATCTCAATGTCTCCTAATTTGGATAACTGAAATGAGTCTGTCAGCTTATCAATTATAGAGGCAAATCTATGAATTATTTCAACCTTTGATTCTATTTCCTTAAATCCTTCGATATGCGTAAACAGCTCTAAATAATAATGACAGATCATGTAAATTTCAATTGCCTTTAGACTGTTCATAATCTGGCCATTTGTGGTCTTTCTAGGATGCTTGTGAAGGAATGATGGATACTTTTGTTTCAGAAACAATGTCAAATCTTTCCCAGTATTGAACAGGGATCATTTTCATCATTTCTTGGAAAACTCCTTCATATAATACATGCATTGAATCATAGCAACAAATATCTGATGGTGATGGATTCAATTCTTGATCCAAAATTGGTGAAATTGGATGCACAATAGAGTCTCCCTATGCAAAGACATCTTGATACTCATCTAAACAGCTCACCATTTGATTAATCATTTCATTCATATTTCTGACTGCGTGTTTATATCTAGCCAATTCTTTCTTAATTCTTTCATTCTCATCAACTAAATCATTATAGTGTTTCAAAAATGCAGAATTTGCAAATGATTCCGGAACTTCATTTGAATCATCATTGCTTGAAGAAGCCTTCTTGTTGGAAGGTTCATTGTAAGAAGAAGCATTCTTGGTAGAAGACTTTGGTCATGATGATAAAACCATTGTGCTCACCCATAAAGAGAGAGCAAAGATTTGTGAATTAGGTGAGAAAACCTCTCAAATAATGCATGTTTGCTCTACCTACTTTGAAAAGTCAATTACAAAGCTTAACCAAGATGAAAGAAAGCTATTGTTTAAGATAATATTTGATGCAATGGGTTGGAAAATAAGCAAACACAAGAACAAACTCAGTAAATACAGAGGTGTCTTTAGAACAATTGCAAGCAACCTTAAGAAAAAGAAGGGTGCAAAACAAAATGAATCAGTAAAGAAGAAGAAGACAGAACTTGAGGAGACCATCTCAAAAAAGAGAAAAGAAAGAGAGGAAAACAATGATTCTGGATCATCCTCTTGTGAGGAAGAAACCATTGAAGAGGATTCCACTGATGATATGAGTGATGATGAATGTTGATTGTAAAATGTTGGGTTATTAAATGGGAATTTATTTTTAATAAAAAAATGTCTACACATCAACTCCCTCATCATATCATACAAAACTGTCGGTTAGTACTACAACATTATTTTTACTACAATTTAAAATCATCAGTGATCACTCATTAAATATTGAATAGTATCATTAATTTGTTAATACGATAATTGTTGGCGGAGTTTTATTGTTTATTGGTTTGTTGTATTTAAATTTCTTAATTTCTTAATTTTTTAATTATTGTTGTTAGTTGGATTTATAAAGATTTTATTCTTCGAAATTGGTTTGTTGTATTATTTTCATATTATATGATTTTACCTGCTACGGATCATCAAAATTATTCATCACAAGAAATTAGGTAATTTGTTATAATTCAATTTGTGCTAAACAGCACGATTTATATGCAAGCAACAGATTTTGAACAGAAAACAATGTAAGTAATTTTGATTTATTATCATTAATTTTGAATGTAACTGAAGAGGTGAGTGATATTTCATCAGTTGGAGTGAGGATGAGGAGTGTAGATATTTTTTTCGGTTGGAAATTTGGAATGGAAGTGGATCTAATAATAGATGAGTTTGGAACTTGGAAATTTTACAAGATTTTGGAGTAAATAATTGCTGGAATTTAGTCAATAATTGACAATAATTATTATGAATTTTTTGACGTAATTATTGATGTTTTTTCATCAATATTTGATACAAAACATTATCAATTTATTATCAATTTTTGACGTCAAAAATTGATAATAAATCATTAAGAATTGACGATAATTCTTGACGTCAATTGCGCGTTAATTTGGAATTTTTCTCCCAACACTTGTTGACGATTTTATTATGCTTTAAGCATCAATTTTTAACATTTTTCAATAAACTTTATTTCATAATTTTGCAATCTGATACGTTAAAATTTGACGAAAAAATTGTTAAAATTATCATCAAAATAATTTAGCGGGGTGTTGAGAAGAAATTTTTTTTTTTAAAATAATATGGTTGGTTATCTTCCGAGAAACTGGGAATTCTTTTTCGGTTTGGATTAAGTAATATACCCTAACGAACACAATCACATCCAATTTTTAACTATAAGGCAACGCTGTTTTTGGTCTGTATATGAAGAATTTTTAATAATGAATGTGAAGCGTCGATGGTTTAGTGGTAGAATACGGCGTTGCCATCGCCGTGACCCGGGTTCAATTCCCGGTCGACGCATGAAGTATCTTTTTATTCCTTCGTTGTTGAAGTAATTTTAATTATTTTTCTACCACTCATGGAAGACATGTATTTGTACAATAATCTGTATTTTCTCTCAATTTAGAACAGTAATCATTGAGATATTCACCTCCTTCCAAATAGCATTTTTTAACCTAAAAAATATGCTAAAAAAAGATGCCGACTAACTTTTTAACAACAACAATACAGATTGATCTCCTGGAAACATGCCGACAACATGATTCTATCACCAATGGATTTAACGATTCCCAATGAGAT